GTTAAAACTGTTTTCACAGTTGCACCAAGCCATCTTTACACTGCTGCTCTGCCATGCTATCTACATTCATGGTACCAAAGCAGCAGTGAGCAGGACTATAGCAACTCAGCCCAGGGCAAGACCATGGCACCAGGGTAGGCCTCAGGCTCCACACATATAATTTTCTCACAGCTAAAATCAACACCAATTACACAGAAGATGTGAAACAGTAAAGAGTGCTCACTCTTTTAGATACCATCCTCAATACATGTCTCTCTGAGCTCTGTGCTACATATGGAATGGTTTCACAAGGAAAAGTCTGGTATAGTTACTTGAGCTGTGAGCTAAGTTAAGTGCTTTTTAAAATTGATTCTGAGGACAGGTGCAGTGATGCACCCCTGAATTCCCAGCTAATCAGGAGGCTGAAGCAGGACGACTGAGAGCTTAAAGCCAGACTGGGCAGCATAGCAAGATGATATCTTTTTTAAAAAGGCGGGGGCGGGGGAATAAAATGAAACTGATCATCAGTAATTTTTGAGTTATAAGAAGTTCTAAGATCATAAGGTTTGAGAATTGGGGCTACTGAGGCAGAGTTTGTACAATTTGGGCATTTTCTCTGAAAATGAAGGTTCTTGCCCAGAACCTTCATTTGGGGATAAAAGTGACAGGTTGCATCATTGATCCAGGATCAAAGTTTTGCTGAGTAGGTGAAGAGATACTGTAGAGAGCCAGGCAAATGGCCTGCTCAGGATCTGCCCAGGAGGGGAAAAGAGCTAATAAATAGAAGAGAATGATGGAGGCCAGATTGCTATATATCCTTGAAACTTAAGACAAATATGGGATTCTGGGAGGACACTAAGGAGAGTCATGTATCATGGTCAGATGTACTCCCAGCCTCAAAGGAACTTCCATTCTTTCAGGGGAAAGAAACCTGCTCCCAAGTAAGCATGCACACAGGGAACCATGATTCATAGTATGTGAATGGTGCCAGCAGATTGCTGTGTAGCGTGGGAGGAGGAGGCCCAGCACTCTGACTATGGGATCAGCACCTGCCAGCTGCTTCCCATTTCTCTCCTTTTCTCCTTTGGTAGCTGTGAATAATGCAGAAATAGCACTTGCAATAAAAGAAAGCTGAGATTCAGTTATTTTTCAAGTAGGGGGAGAAAAGCTACCTTCCTTTGAAATTTTTATCTGGAGGTTTAAGGTCCTAAGATTTAGTTAGAAAGAGCTAACAGATCTGTTTTAGAAATGCTTAAGCTGCAAAATACAAGTTGCCTCGAAGTGGTTCACTACTTACACCAACAAGTGTGAGCCAGGGAGAAGTACCCCCCAATAACTTAGAAACAGTGCTGTTAGAATCTGTGGTCAGATTCAACCTTTTCCTAGCATAGACTGTACTGGGCAAAAAGCCCAAATGACTTCATTGCCTCTCAAGAAAGTCATAGGGAAAGTATCTGGAAGCTCTTTGTGGTAAGGGATGGTCCAAAGCAGGAAGTAAGTTAGGTCTTATTACCTGTTACTGACAATAGGAATCTAAAGCTCATGATACATCTAAGAATTCTCATACATACATCTACCAAGTATTGGATACAACTAGGATTTGAGCTGGAGGTATCTGAGTTCTTGACCATCATGTGGCATTGTCTTGACTATCAAGAGGGCCTCCTCCTAAACCTCACCAATCTGAAGACCCTTTGTTACAGCTGCAGGCATGAACACCTCTTCTGCTGGGCCAGACTGCTTCAGTCAAGGCCAAACCTGTCTGGAGATCCCTGCTCCAAAATGTTTTCTAGCATATAAAGCAAAGTGTCATTATTCCATAATTTCCTAAAGTACATTTTAGATATGTATTAAAAAGATTGTAGACAAAGACACAAATAAATTTGAAATGAATTGTAGAAATTCATTGTCTGGTTTATTTGGTTTTTTTTCTTAAATACAGCACCCACTTACACTTATTAGATATGAGAAAAGTTCTCTTTATTATGTCCAATGTGTCATTTATGACATTTATTATTTTTTCTTAAATAAAAGAGATTGGGGGCTGGGGCTGGGGCTCAAGCGGTAGCGCGCTCGCCTGGCATGTGTGCAGCCCGGGTTCAATCCTCAGCACCACATACAAACAAAGATGTTGTGTCCGCCGAAAACTGAAAAATAAATATTAAAAATTCTCTCTCTCTCTCTCTCTCTCTCTCTCTCTCTCTCTCTCTCTCTCTTTCTCTCACTCTCTCTCTCTTTAGAAAAAAAAAAAGAGATTGGCCCTATGGTGGCATTCAATAAAGGAAATTGAAAGGGGGGGGTCAGAACTGTGTGTATAACATATGTGAACATGCACACGTATATACCCTTTATTTCGTTTTTTGTTTTGTTTTCCTTTTTTTAAAAAAAAATTGTAGTTGTAGATGAGCAAAATGCCTTTATTTTATTTAATTTATTTTTTTAATGTAGTGCTAAGGATCAAACCCAGTGCCTCACATATGCTAGGCAAGCACTCTGCCACTGGGTTACAGCCCCAGCCCTGCACACACCCTTACAATAACCTCAGGCAACAGAATACCTCCCTGACCCTCATTTAGTAAACAAGAAGTCACTTTGGACATTTTACTTATCTACTTTCAAGAGTTGATTGACTTTTTTTAATGAATAAATGATTAAAACTTTTCTTGAAAGTAAGCTAAACTGATCACGAATATTAAAGTGTACCATATACATTTGATTATTAAATGATCTTTTACCATTCTACTCTTAGGTCTTAGTGTACTAATTTGAGATGGGCAAGATTGACATTGCCACCTTAAAATAAAGTAAGAAATAATCATTATTAGAAAAGAAACTTCATTAAGCTTGTACATATTTTTTGTTTTGTTTTAAGATAATTTACACTCTATAAAGAACTTGTGTTCAGATGTCTAAATTGTGGAACTAACCTAGATGTCCCTCAGCAGATGAATGGATAAAGAAAATGTGGGGCATATGCTCAGTGGAATATTACTCAGCTTGGAAGAAAGAAGTGTGAAATTATAGCATTTGCCAGTAAATGGTTGGAGATGAAAATATCATGCTAAGCGAAATAAGCCAATCCCACAAAATCAAAGACTGAATGTTTTCTCTAATGTGCGGATGCTATTTTACAATAAGGCGGGGTGGGGTGGCAGGGGAACACTAGGGAAGAATAACGTTAGATTAGGTAGAAGGGGGGGGGTGTGGAGATAGGAAAAAGACATTATTACCATATGTATATATGTGACTACATGACCCATATGATTCTGCAGCATGTACACTCAGAAAAATGAGTCATCTATGTATGATATATCAAAGTTCATAAGTGCATTCTACTATCATATATAACTAATTAAAACAAAAATATTAAAAAAAAAGAACTGTATTTGTCGTTGACTAGTAGTTTTTCAGACTTGCAGTAGGTTCTCATACTTGAGCCTTGAATTTTTCAGGGGTGCCTGAAGGTCTATGAACTAGGATTCAAGAAAAGATCGGGTAGTTCCTTTTTTATCCATTCCATATTTTGAGGCTCCTCCTGTTAGGATTTAATTTGAAGAGAGAACCTGCTGCTTAAGTTGAAAACCATTGGTCTAAACATTGTTAAATGAAAGGAGTCAAAATGTTTTTAAAAGAAGAGCCTTTTGTAACCTGATCTTCAAAACCGTAATGTATACATAAATATTTTCTTTTTTGTACCAGAGATTGAACCCAGAAGGGCTTAACCACTGAGCCAAATCCCCAGCCCATTTTTATGTATTCTTTTATGCATGTGTTTGTGGGGTTTTTTGGTGGTGGTGGTGGTTTTTTTTGGTTTGTTGTTGATAGACCTTTATTTTGTTTATTTATATATGGTGCTGAGAATTGAACCCAGTGCCTCACACATGCCAGGCAAGTGCACTACTGCTGAGCCACAGGCCCAGGCCTCCCCCCTGCCCCCATTTTTATATTTTATTTAGAGACAGGGTCTTGTTGAGTTGCTGAGGACCTCGCTAAGTTGATAAGACTGGCTTTGAACTCTTGATCTTCCTGCCTCAGCTTCCCAAGCTGCTGGGATCACAGGCATGTACCATCACCCCCAGTCAATGTATTTTCTTGCATCTATTTTTTCTTGTGAATTCCTACTCCTCATGCCTGTAATCCCAGTGCTCAGGAGGCTGAGGCCAGAAGATTTTGAGTTCAAAGCCAGCCTTAGCAACTTAGTGAGGCCCTAAGCAACTCAGCAAGACCCTGTTTCTAAATAAAATATAAAAAGGGCTGGACATGTAGCTCCATGTAAACCCCCCTGGTTTCAGTCTCTGGTACAATTCTACTCCTTCTAATACAGGAAGTATCTCATTATATTTTCCCAAACCTTTGTCCCAGGCAGTGTTAACCTTGCCCTTTGGCCACAGTCATGACCTGAGGTGGTCACTAACTACAGAGGCTAGGGTAGGCTTCTCATTAGCTGCCCATATGTTCCATTCCCATTGATCTGCACTTGATCCTCCTATTGGGCTTCTGATGCAAAGGAAATGCTCAACTCTTTACACCTAGCCAGATCAAAAGAGTGCTTTTAACTTTGGGCCTTCCAGAAAGACTCCCATCTAGGAAGTAGTAAGCCTATAGCCTGTGGGTCACACGTGACTGTTAGCCAGGACCTGAAAAGACTATTGTCTTTTATGACTGTAGAGGCCTTTCCTTTGTGTTGATGGATAAAATGACCATAGCAAAAATGACTTCAGAGTTAATCTGAAAGGAGGACTTTGCTTTCGATAACTACAGATCAGTGATTTGGAAAATGTCACATTTTTTTAGGCAAATGTAAGTTTGTGTCCTCATCTTCCACTTTTAGCCTTTGTCTAACCACTCCATCTTGCTGAGCATTGAAATCTGTGATTGGTGGTCAGCAGAGGCATTCAGTATGCTAGCTGGTTGCCCCTCAGTAATGCTTCATTTCATTTTTTATGGATCAGTTTACTTAAATGGAAAGTATTTTAGTGAATACTTCTGCTTCTCACATTATAAAACCTTTATCTTTGTAGCTCTGGATTTACTGGACAAAATGTTGACATTCAACCCCCATAAGAGAATTGAAGTCGAGCAGGCTCTGGCCCATCCATATCTGGAGCAGTATTATGACCCAAGTGATGAGGTAAGAGTCCATGCTCCTGGCTGCTTGTTCAGGGATGTAGACCAGTGAGCAACAGGCCTAACCATGTTCAGCTTGTGAGGTTATGGTTGCATACCTGATCCTCCCAACATATTTACCTCCTCTACCTTGAGGACAAGCACTGTGGGACACAGTTTGAGATCCCTGTCCCCAAGACCTACCTTTCTACCTCAAAAGACTTCCTCCAAGTCATCTGCAGTAGATGGGACCAGGGCAGTACATGGATAACGGGGAATAGCTTCACCAGTGTGGAATGTAGAGTATGTAGAGGGCAGGGAACTGAGGCTGGAGACCATTGACATGGTCCAGAGAAGGAAAAGACAAATGTACTGACCTTGAGGATGGAGATGAGTTGGCAGCCTGCTAAGGAAGGCAACACACTGAGTGAGAAGTCAGTCTAGACAGTTCCCACTGTGCCTGGCAACTCTGTGTTGGGTATGCCATTCTCTGGAGATAGGCCACAAGAGTCTGTTTTATTGAGAGATTTAATGTGACCAGAGGGGCATGTGCAGCTCTTCAGAGCCGACTAGACATCCCTGTGAAAGAGACTTGGTGTCTTGTTCACTCCAAGACAGTTCTCTTACTGTACTTCTCTGGTTCCTCTATGGATTCAGTTTAACCTTTATTCTCTGGAGGTTAACAAAAATTCAGCATGAGCCAAAAGTTTAGATTGTTCTGGTTGAAGCTTACGTAAATAGAAAATAAAGCCTCCACATCCTCTTCTTAAAGGAAAGAAGCAAGTGTATTATCTTAAAATTACAGGACAAAATGGAAAAGAAAAATGAAAAACTAGCAAAGCTAAAAGCTGATACAGAGAAAGAAGATAGAAATCAAAACAAGGGAGTATTTATTAATTGGCTTCCCCTTCCACATCCATCTCCCACCAAAAAAAAAAATACTTGAGGCAGTTTGCAGAGATACTACAGTTCAGTCAGTGACATGGAAACAGATGAAAATGTGTCTCATCCTGGCCTTGTGAGCTAAAGATTCTGTGTCCTAATCAACAAGTTTGGGCAGTGCACCTATATGTAAGATTCCTAGTATGATCCCAAATACAGATCACCCTCCAGAGAGAGCTACCTGTTCTTCTCTTGGAACTTGAATCCTTTTCCCCTTTCAAGTAGCCAAAGCATACTATAGTATCTGAGGTTCATACTTCCTCCCCCTTAAGTTCTCATGAAGATTAGGTGGGTGAGATCTGGGGGTCTTTTCAACCACTGATTGACAGTTGCCATCATCATCAGCTTAGTTTTGTTTTTGTTTTGTTTTGTTTTGGTAGTTATAAATGGACAGAATGCCTTTATTTGTTTAGTTTTATGTGGTGCTGAGGATCGAACCCAGTGCCTCAGCAATGCTAGGCAAATGCTCTGTCGCTGAGCTACAGCCCCAGCCCTCAGCTTAGTTCTTTAACATTGCATTAGTTTGTGGACATTTAAAAATAGGTGCTGGGGATGTAACTCAGGGGTACAACATTTGCCAAACATGTGCAAGACCCATGTCAGTCTCCAGCACCAAAAAAAAAATCAAAATGTAGAGGCTGGAATGTAGTTCAGTGGTAGAAATTTTGCCTACCATGCTTGAGGCTATGTGTTCAGTCCCCAGTACTGCCCCCCTAAATAAAAATGTAATATGGGCTGGGTGGTAGAGTGCTTGCCTGGCATGTGCTAAGGCACTGGGTTCAATACTTAGCACCCTAAAAAAATAAAATAAAAGCATTCTGTCCATCTATTAACTACTAAATGAATAAATATGTAATTAATTATCTTTGTCATTCAGTATATATGGAGGTTCTTTGACCTAAACAGTTTATATATTTCTTAAATAACTTTCTGAGTATGCATACAGTATGGTAAGAATTAAATTAAAAATGTGTGGGGCTCGGGATATAACTCAGTGATAGAGCATTTGCCTTGTATGCGTAAGGTCCTGGGTTTAATCTCCAGGACCAGGAAAAAACAAAGGCAAAAAACTTGGAGAAAGATATTTTAAAAGATCTCTTTAATCGTTTAATCTAGTTGCAGTTCTTAGTAAAATTTTGGAATATTACCTTCATAATCTTATGTTTCTATATCTAAATTTTTAAAGTAGGGTTAGTGTTCATTCTGTTAAATGCAAATGCAAAACATGGGCATCTTTGCAGCTTTTGTTTCGGGGGGGCTGTCAGTTACTGGGGATTGAACTCTAGGCACAGTAACACTGAGCTATAACCCTAGCCTTTTTTTTTTTTTTTTTTTTTTTTTTTTTGGTACCAGGGATTGAACTCAGGGGCACTTGACCACTGAGCCACATCCCCAGCCTTATTTTGTATATATTTTTTTCTTCTTTTCTTTTCTTTTTTTAACCCTTATTTTATTTATTTGTATGTGGTGCTGAGGATCAAACCCAGGGCCTCACATGTGCTAGGCGAGCACTCTACCACTCAGCCCCAGCACCAGCCCCCCTGTTTTGTATTTTATTTAAAGACAAGGTCTCACTGAGTTACTTAGTGCCTTGCAGTTGCTGAGGCTGGCTTTGAACTCAGGATCCTCCTATCTCAGCCTCCCAAGCTGCTGGGATTACAGGTGTGCGCCACTGTGCCTAGCTACATCCCTAGCGCCCCCCCCCCCCTTTTTTTTTTTTTGAGACAGGATCTCACCAAGTCTTTGGGATTACGAGCATGTACCACTGTAGCCAGCTGCAGCTTCATTTTTAACAGCTCTATAATCGTTCCTCATAACAAAGATGCTATAATTTAATCAAATGCATTTATTTTAGTCTCATGGGTTTGGATCATATAAACATACCACCTCCACAACAGCACATTTCTGTTATTACAACATCCAGTACCTTGAAACATTTGCAAGTTATTCTGGGATTTGTGATAAGTTTACAAAAAAACAAAATGGGTTCAGTTGCTTTGTTTGTGTGTGGGTGTGTGTATGTTTTGCTGGGGATTGAACCCAGGGCCTGGTGCATGGTGGGCTGGTGCTATACCACTACATCCCTACCCCCCCAGTCCATTTATTAAATGCTTATGAGAACGGTGCTTTCAGGAGTATGGGCACAAATACAATGTTTATCAGAACTCTCAGATGTTTTTGTTTATTTCATGGTGCTGGGGATCAAACTCAAAGCCTCTTACATGCTAAGCATGTGCTCTACCACTGAGCTACACTCCAAGCCCTGGTGCTCTCAGGTTTTATGAGACTTCAATCTTGTTGTATAAATTTCAGAATGTAATTTAGAGTCATTTTATGAATCTAATCAGTAAATTACTGCCTGAACAAGAACAACTTTTGACTAATAAATGTTTTGTCTTCTCTTAAAGCCCATCGCTGAAGCACCATTCAAGTTTGACATGGAATTGGATGACTTACCTAAGGAAAAGCTCAAAGAACTCATTTTTGAAGAGACTGCTAGATTTCAGCCAGGATACAGATCTTAAATTTGTCAGGTACCTGGAGCTTTAACCACATAGTTAACCCTAGAGAAGGAGAGGGAATATAAGTGTCATTAGAAAGTAAAAGAATTCAATGTATTCCTCTTTACTTAAATATACATTTGTATACTGACACTTTTGAATTTAAAACTGGGGAAAATACATTCTGTCTTTCACCATTGTGAATATACTTGGAATTTTTTAATTTCTGGCAGTTTATATTGACCTACAGTTACAGTGACATGAAGTTTGAATGACAGTTTCTAGAGTAATAGCTACAGTAAGACTGGTGTTTAGGCACAAGGGGACTTACAAACCTGATTTTTTTTTTTTTTTAATATTTTTTAGTTGTAAATGGACACAGTAACTTTATTTATTTATCTTTATGTGGTGCTCAGGATCAAACCCAGTGCCTCACCCATGCTAGGTGAGTGCTCTACCATTGAGCATAGCCTCAGCTCCAAAACCTGGTTTTGTTTTTTTTTTGTTTTTTTTTTTTTTGAGAGAGAGAGAGAATTTTAATATTTATTTTTTAATTTTCGGCGGACACAACATCTTTGTTTGTATGTGGTGCTGAGGACCGAACCCGGGCTGCACGCATGCCAGGCGAGCACGCTACCACTTGAGCCACATCCCCAGCCCAAAAACCTGATTATTTTTTGAGAAAATAAATTCATGGGATAGAATAAGTTTGAGGCCTTCGTTCCTGAAAATTTTAGGTTTTTTACTTTATACGACATTTTAAACATTGGGAAATTTTAACATGCAACTTTTGAGGCCCTAGGACTTCCCCTTTTCCCCCCAGTACTAGGGATTGAACACAGGGCCTTGCTAGGCAAGCACTGTACCACTGAGCTCCATCCCCAGCTACCTAGAATGTTTCTCTAAGAATTAAGAACATAGAATTTCATGCAGTAAACACAGTGACTTTAAGTACACACACAGTGGCCAGTCAGGACAGAGAAACACTGATAAGCCAGTGAAGTGCTAGGAAGACAAGGAGCATGAGAGTGAAAAATCATGAAGACTGGACATGGGAAATAGTCAGGAAAGGAAGGAAGATGCATGGAGTCCCAAGAAGACATAAGTTTTCACAACCTAACTTAATGGGTTGGTTTGGTTTGGGTTTGTTTTTGATTTTGGTAGTACTGGGGATTGAACCCAGGGCCTTGTGAATACCAGGTAAGCATTCTTACCATTGAGCTACATCCCCAGCCTTTATTTTTTATTTTGATTCAGTCTCACTAAGCAACTGAGGCTAGCCTCAAACTTGCAGTCCTCTTGCCTCAGCCTACAAAGTTGCTGAGATTACGGGCATGTGCCACTGTGCCTGACTTAACTTCATTTTTTTAGATGCATAGTACCAGTGTGTACAGAAGGGGTATGTGCACAGGGTAACTCTTGTACTTGCTAGGAAACATGGACATCGGGTTCACCACTTTCCAAAGAGAGGAGCCAGCCATGTGCTCAGAGTAACAGTCTGATTGCTGAGCATTCATTGTGTTCGTTTGTTTTTAAGACAGGGTCTTGTTAAGTTGCTGTTGTCTGGCCTCAAACTTGCCAGGGCTAATCTCAAATTTGCAGTACTTCTGCCTTAGCTCCCCAGATTGCTGGGATTACAGGTGTGCACCATCAGGCCCCACATTTCCCTTGGTCTTTAGAACATTCTGTTCCTTAAGATTCCATTGGTTCATGTTCATTTCCAAGCACCTCCTTTAATTTAGATTTTTGAATAATTCAGAGAGTTTTACTTAGATACTTGTAGGAGTCACACACCACATACACGCACACACACTTTTTATTAGAAATTGAAAGTCCTTCCTTTCTTTATTCAAGAGTAATGAATGTAATTATTTGGCAACTGCTTGTTTGTATAATAGACTGTCTTTTGATTCTTATCTTTTTCTTGCTGCCGCTTTTTTCAGCAGATTCACAGTATGTGAGCATCTCTCTGAAAAGGGTTCACTCCAGGACTCCCTTCCTCCCATGGAAAGTGCAGCCACCAGTTTAGCAAATCCAAAGAGTTACAGAGTGTTACAGAGTCCTCTGTATCTGCCTCTTTTGGGAGACGGATAAAAAAGAAATGGAAATTTAGGTGCTTGCCCCTGAGAAACTCCTAGTGGAGACCTAGTTCTGTAATTAATGCTTCCCACAAGGGAGTCCAAACACGGTTCTCTGTTCAGATCAGGAGTATGGGCAAGCAAAGCTGGGAAAAGCTTCATCAAGGAGGTAAAGGCTAAGCTGATCCATTAGAGGGATTTATATGGACCTGGATAGAAACTGCACCAGGAATACAGTACACGGTGGTAATGTTGGTAAATTTAAAAATGTACAAAAAAAGAAAATACAAATCTGGATTTTCCAGAACATATGGTGAGAGGAGAAGAGAATAAAGCTTATGTCAGAACCCTAGAAATGACAGGGAAGTAAAGAATTGCGAGGAAGGGGGAAGTGCTTTACATGGAAGCAACATGGAAGGAGCCAGAGATATCCCTTGACAGGCAGATGTGTCTGCAGAGACTGCAGACAAATGGCCAAAGTGGCATTGAGGTTGTGTTGGAACAGGAGGCCAAGGGTGGAGTTTTGGAATAGTGGTTTTGGCAGTGATTTTTTCCTTTGAGGTTTTCATTAGGTAGATATCCATCCTCTCCTCGTTGTTTTTATCATCATATTGGGGTCTGGAAACAATACCTCAAGCTGTGGGATCCCTGGGACTCTGTTGGTCAGTTCCCAGGCTGGAAAGCAGAAGCCACTCCAGGTGTTCCACACAAAAGGCAGGTGATTGATCAGAGGTGCTAGAAGGGCTCAAGAGGGAAAGTGGAATTACTACAGATTGGTCACTGCAGGAAGCTATTCCTGTTCTCCAGCTAAAATAGTAAGAGGTTGTTAACCAAAGTCCTTGATCAAGTGAGGATGCTGGGGAACTCACTATAACTGCAGCTGTCAGAGACTGCAGACACTTCTCATCAGGAGACCTTACTATCACTGACTCAGGGAGACTGTGGAGCCAAAGCCACTAACATCATCCAGTGCCTCTGAAATCTAGGAAACTACCCTCCTCATGCTCCTGAAAAACAAGGGCTCCCTCATGATTCCTTTCACAGGTTATTTTTCTTAAACTAGTGAGTAGATTCTGATTTTCCCCATCTTCCTTGTCTTAGTTCAGACACATTTCCACTTAGTCTGTACCAGGTACTTTGTCAGACTCCAGGAATAAACAGAACAGACAGGCCTACATGTGGCCTCCAAGGAGCACCCAATCTAGCAGGGGAGAAACCATATAACCAGAGCAACTCAGGATCAGAGGTACTATAACAGAGGTGAGTAAGGGCACAACAGGCCCCAGAAGTAAAACTAAGCATCATAGAGTGAGGCATTTGTGCTATGCTGAATCTTGATTACTGGTGGGAAAGGGAACACAGTAGTACTAAACCAGGAATGGTAGAGCATGTAAGCACAGCCTCGAGCTAATAAGTAGGAGGAGTCTGCAGAGAGAGGGCCAAGCCCAGGACATAGCCCTTGCCTTATTAAGGAGGCTAAATCTCCTTCACAAGTAGTTACCCATCCTGAAGTGTTATCTCAGGAGACTGTAAGGGCAGCAAGGAAGTAAAAGGACTTTGCAAGCAGAGACCAATGGGATGGTTGGCCAGGGTACTCCTGGGGCTACATGATGTGGCTGCTGACTAAATGCCCTTTGAAGTTAGCATTACAGACAGGGACAAGATTCTCACTAGGTGCACTCCAACTCTGAATTCAGGTGTGGCAAGTATATCACTTCGGTGTCATTCTTTTGTTCTAGGCACACATGAGGCACGCAGATGCTCATTATGTACTTAGAGCCTGGTCTTTTCCATTGTTCTTTTAAATGGCAGTTTTCAGCTATTCTTAAAAGTTCAAAGAATTTTAAAGTAAACACCCGTATTCCCACCACCTAGATTCTACAGGGTTTCTTTTTGGGGGGCAGGGAGGATTATCAGTAATTGAACTCAGGGGCACTTGACTACTGAGCCACATCCCCAGCTCTATTTTGTATTTTATTTAGAGATAGGGTCTCACTGAGTTGCTTAGTGCCTCGTTTTTGCTGAGGCTGGCTTTGAACTCGCAATACTCCTTTCTCAGCTTCCTGAGCCACTGGGATTACAGGCATGCACCACTACACTGGGCTATCTGCAGTTGTTTTACTATGCTTGGTTTCCCCCTTAATATGTTCCTCCATCTACCCATCAATCCATTTTCTTCATGTATTTCAAAGGAAGTTTTCAACATCTAGACTGACTTATAGTTTAGTCATCTGGAATATAAAAATGAATCCAGCAGGGAAGGTGGGACTAGGAAATCTGTAACCTACCAGCCAGGTTCTTTTCATAAGCATTTCATTTTAGTGGTCACAGCAGCACTCTCTGAAGTCAGCACACACTGCAGGTCTATGATTAAGGAAATAAAAGATTAGAGTACCTAAGGGTTTTGCTCAGGATTGTAGATCAGGGCTGGGGTTGTGGCTCAGTGGTAGAGCGCTGGCCTAGCACACGTGAGGCACTGGGTTTGATCCTCAGCACCACATAAAATTAAAATAAAGGTATTGTGTCCACCTATAACTATATATATATATATATATATATATATATATATATAAAGATTGTACATCAGTGCAAAACTAAGCAGAGGATTCAGGCATTGTAGACTTAAGATGCCATTTTCTTATGATCGATCAACACTGCCTCCCGCTAACCTTGTTCCCTAGAGAGGTCTTGGGACTTGTTCACAACACTAAGGAACATGTTCCTGAGTTCCTTTCCTTATAGACGTGAGATAAAAAGCTCCAAATCAGAAAGCCTGCCAGGTAGAAGACACAGGGAAGTTATATAGAGGTGCTGATCACCTGCCTTGCTGAAGCTAGAAAAAACTGGAAAACGTGCACACTGGGGACTTTTTTTTGGTAGAGGAAGTTCTCAAGGGACCCCCCCCCCCCTTGCTAGGGCCAGTATTTGTGTGGGGTCTTAAAGGATCAGAGTATTTCATTGTATTTTGCTTGTGGAAATGTTCTCAGTTACCAGTCTCAAAGGTATATGAAGTCAGTACCTGTGACATGCCTCATCCTCACTTAGACCCATCTCCTCAGTCCCCTGCCATGAGACTGTGAAGATGAAATACTCATCTTTCTTTCTCTTCTGCCTGTTAGTGATACAAACTTTCTCAGAAATTAATTACTCGGGACTATCAATCTCATCTCCCTGTGGTTTCCTGGAAGGTAAAAGCATCTTAGGGCATCTTTAACTTAGGGGAGCCAGTAGGTTTGGCTGCAACTTAAGATGTGTACCTCTAAACAGCAAGAGCCACTTCCCCCTCAGTCCATTTCCTTGTCCTTAGTTGGACCATGACACCCATCCTTCATGCCCTAACTCCTAAATGGCAAGTGAAAGCCATAGCAGTGCTGAGGGTAGAACCTGGGGCCTCACACAAGCTAGACAAGTGCTCTACCACCTAGCTACATCCCTAGCCCTCTGCTAGATATTCATGTTCCGACCCTCTGGGAACCAGCCCCAGCTTACTTTTCCAGAATCCCACCCCTGCTGTCCACCAGCACCAGGTTTAGCTTTCAGAGAAAATTTGAGCATTAATAACAACACAAACTCTGTTGTCAGTGCAGTTGACTTAATTCTACCTGGTCATTCAGAGAAAAAAGAGGCTTAATAAGAATAGGAGACAGAGAGAGGGCCAAGCCTCTTGACTTTGGATGGATACCATGTGGTTACTAAAGGGCATCCCAGGAACACTGAAGCCAACCTAACTGTGTATGTCAGTGCCTGTATGTCTTTCCTATGATTGTTATGAAAAAAAGCCTCTGAGAACTGTCTGAGAAAGGTGCTGTTGAAGTCTGGGCAGAGCACCAGCCCCTTCAAAATTGCCATGTGTTACACATGCCCACAAATGTGTAAATTAAGTGATTTTTTTGTAGTAATTTTCCCCCTTTTGCTTTTTTTACTTTTGTTTCATGATGCTGACGATGACGTATTAATGTTCATTTTTTTCACTTCTCCATTTTGTAATGCTGCTGATGTTGATTTAACATAATTCAGTCCTAACTCCCAGGTTTATTTGTGTTTTTATAGGACAAGGGATCAGAGGACTGGACGTGCTCAGACATCGATGTTCTTCTTTCCAGTTCTTGACCCCTGGTCCTGTCTCCAGCCTGTCATGGCTTATTCAGTTTGACTCCTTTGAGCCGTTCGGAGGGGCGGTTTCTGGTAGTTGTGGCTTTTATGCTTTCAAAGAATTCCTTCAGTCCAGAGAATTCCTCCTGGCCACCCCTGTGTGTGTCACCCACCGGTGACTGGCAGCAGTATGTACTTCCAATGCACGTACTGCTTACCGTTGCTTTAGTCACTAATCGCTTTCTGATTTGAAAGATGCAGTGGTTCCTCCCACTCCTGAATCCTTTCTACATGATGCCCTGCTGACTGACCCATGCAGCCTCACCAGAGCAAGAGTCTTTCCACATTGGCTCTAGTCACTGGCATCTTTATGATAGGGAAGGCTACTACCTAGGGCACTTTAAGTCAGTGACAGCCCCAAATTTGCACTTCATCTGTTGACTGTAACTTTCCCCCAGAGCTTATGGAAATACCTTGGATGACATTGCAGCCTACAGCAAGTGCTTCTGTCTCGGGAATCCTTTGGGAGCACTTGTCAGTGTCTTTTCTAATATCATGTTAGTTACTAACATATTTAAGGTATGTGCTATTTGCCCAGCTTTTAGAAAATTCAGTCATTCTAAACAGAAAGGAAGTACTGCACCCAGCAATGTCATTCTGCAGATTTACTGTGGTTACTTATAACAATTATAGAGGTATAACACTTGTCAAAATGTATTACATGCAGTACTTACTGTTTGCTAAACCTACATAAAAAGATTTGAAATGGCAGCTGTGCTCAGCATTTGATGAGACACAAAAGGTGACAGTACTGTGGAATGTTTCTGGAGAAGTAGTGAACAGGCTGATCCACGATGGAATTCCACATACCCGGTGCATATATACCCTGAACTATTTCAGTAACCACATTCAATGCTGGAGGATTTAGCAGAGAGGAACACTGCAACTTTAATGAGAAAGTGTACAATTCCTTTTCCTTCTATAGCATGTCAGCATCTCAAGTTTATTTTTCAACCTACAATATAACAATTTGTAATAAAGCCTTCATGAGCTCATGACATGAAGCACTGTTCTGTCGTCAAGTACTCTTTAAATATTTCTGATACTGCTGAGTTAAGACCATCAGAAGAAGCTGAAGCTAGCATTAAGTCATGTTCAGAGCTCTCCATATTTTCCTAATCTCTTTAAGTATTTGTTCTGCCACTGTGTACTGTGGAGTTGACTCGGTGTTCTGTCCCAGTGCGGTGCCTCCTGACTCCCCCACTGCTCTCTGTGGTGAGAAATTTGCCTTGTTCAATAATTACTGTACCCTCGCATGACTGTTACAGCTTTCTGTGCAGAGATGACTGTCCAAGTGCCACATGCCTATGATTGAAATGAAAAATCTATTGTTACCTCTGAGTTGTGTTCCACGGAAAATGCTATCCAGCAGATCATTTAGGGAAAATAATTCTATTTTTTGCTTTTCGTCTCTCAGCTGTCCTATTTTTCTTTTTTTCTTTTATTTTTGACAGCAATGGAGAATGGGTTATATAAAGACTGCCTGCTAATATGAACAGCAATGCACTTGTAATTCATGGAAATAAATGTACATCTTTATCTTCACATTCATGTTAAGATTCAGTGTTGATTTCCTCTGGATCAGTGTGTCTGAATGGACAAAACAGGTTCTGTTTGTGCTCCAAATAGAAGTGCCCATGGGCCTCACTTCCCCACCCTAGGCATTGCCCCACACTTCAGTTTACATGAGGTGGCTTACAAAGGGCCTTTTTCCCTCTGCACAGCAGATAATTCTGACATGTTTCTTTGTTCAAATATTAAGTCTCAAAAAAGTCTGTCAAACCCTGGGGACAAAAGCCAGACATCTCAGGTTGGAATCTCTGGTTCCCTCCAAAAAGGGGCTTGCCTATATGCCCCAGAGCTGTTGCTAGCACAGCCAAGTGCTGGGAAGAGCTGCCCAGCACCACATGGTGCATGCCACCTGGCCAAGTATGCTGACACACCTCATGTGACTAAAGAAAGATGGCTGACTCATCCTTAGAAATAAGAATCACATCTTGATTCTTGCCCTAAAAATACATAACTAACTTTTCACTTACATACTCAGAGCTGCCATGTCATGGTCCATGCAGCATTGACAGGATACAGAGATTTGACTGTTATTTGATATATTGATAAATAAGTCAGTTTTCATTTTAAAAAGAGCATTGGCAGTTTTATTACTCATTTCTTTGTACTTTTTTAATGCAATGTTAATATTATTAGTTTAATTTGCAATCTTCTAGGTAGAAAAACTAGCCTTGGCTGCTTATTAATATCTAGGGGCTACAAGCTCTTTGCCATCCTCTTTGTTGGTACTGTGGAATCAGATTGGCATGAAACCACTCACTGCATTGTTGAATTACTGTAGCCACAAGTGGTATACTTTTCATTAATATCATGTGAAATGTAGTTTAACAGGTCAGAGAATTGTTATAACCAAGGTACCTGTGAAACTACAAGTTATTATGTATAACAGACACATCATTTTGGTTTTATATTTCTAAATATGTACAGATTATGTCATCTCAATTCATATTGGTGATGCTGAATGCCTCCATTATTAGCATGCTCAGATAAGCTTTCTGATGGATGTCTTTTTTGGTGTCTAAAATGTAAGCAAAAAATTCCCATTGAAACATTCCAAGACATTCTGTTTGGTATGAAACAGCCAGCCAATAAGCCTTTGGGATAGATGTGAGAACCAATTATGAAGACTCTGCCCTGACAGTCTTTAGAGCTTACAGAGAAACACAGACCACAATGGAATCTGGGTAAACAAATATCATCATGTTCTGTGTGCAGGTGTGGTATGTTCACACTCATTTCTGCTGTTTTCAGGCAGAGGCAGTGGGTGTGGAGAAAACTGTTAGCTTCAGTAAACTATACATGGCTCACCAGTAGTTGTTTCTGAGGAATCATGAAGGTAAACCACCCACATGCCACATAATATTCAGCCCATTCAGAGGAGACTTTGATCTTTATTTGCTTTTATGTTAATATGGTTTTTTAATTAACTTTTATATAGTATGATAACTGTATGTTAATACACACATACATATGCACACGCTTTGGGTCCTTCCATAATACTTTTATATTTGTAAATCAATGTTTTGGAGCAATCCCAAGTTTAAGGGAAATATTTTTGTAAATGTAGTGGTTTTGAAAATCTGAGCAATCCTTTTGCTTACACATTTTTAAAGCATTTGTGCTTTAAAATTGTTATGCTGGTATTGAAACAAGATACTCCTATAGTGCAGATGAGAAGCATGTAAGAGTGGAGTAAGGATGTGGTTTCTCTTACTGTCATCCAACTCGACATGATGGATCAGCAACAACTGGGAATCCAGAGTGAATTCTCTAGGGTTATACCAGGTTTAGCTTAAGCTTGTTGCCTTTTTGTGCTGTTTATCCGTGTAGAGCACTCCAGAAAGTTCTGAAACTGCTTTGTATCTGCTTTGTACTGTTGGTGCCTTCTTGGTATTGTACCCCAAAACTCTGCATAGATTATTTAGTATAATGGTAAGTTTAAAAAAATGTTAAAGGAAGATTTTATTAAGAATCTGAATGTTTATTCATTATATTGCTACAACTTAACATTTATTTGTGGTATTTGTGATTTGGTTAATCTGTATAAAAATTGTAAGTAGAAAGGTTTATATTTCATCTTAATTCTTTTGATGTTGTAAACGTACTTTTTAAAAGATGGATTATTTGAATGTTTATGGCACCTGACTTGTAAAAAAAAAAAATCTACAAAAAAAAATCCTTAGAATCATTAAATTGTGTCCCTGTGTTACCAAAATAACAGTACTGTGCATGTATAGTTTAATTGCAGTTTTACATGTGAAAGTATGAAATCGTCTAGGCCTTAATTACAGCAAGTAAGCCAGCCTTCCTCCTTTGGCTTTGCTTATGTCAATTAGTGATAGGATCATAAGCTGGTTCTCTAGAGTCAAAAAGGGGTTTTAATTTTAGTCCTCTACATTTCCTTAGGTATAAATGGGGGAGAGGAAGGTATTCCCCACGTCCTCTCTTTGTATGCCTCCCACCCTTATCTTCAGCAGTCCTAGTATGGGGGCAGCTCTTTTTTCAGACCAAGAAGTTATAGCTGTATTAGTGAGTCTTAGACATTTTGATTCATGTCAGTATTGAGCATTATGCAGTGACTTATTCACAAGACAGAAATTTTTAGTTGTTGTTTATTTGGTACTGGTGATTGAACCCAGATTGCCACTGAACTACATCCCCCTCCCTTTTTCATTTTGAGACAGGGTCTTGTTAAGTTACTGAAGGTGGCCTGGAACTTGTGAACCTCCTGCATCAGCCTCCCAAATTGCTGGGATTATAGGCATGTGCCCTGGTGGGAAATGTTTTTGATGTAGTATTGTAGGAAAAAACACAGGCCCCTAAACCAGGTTCTCAGCCTGACCCTCTGCTTTGGGTTGCTCATTCCTACTTGTTTGTGCTTCAGTCTCTCCATGGCAGACCATCAGCTATGAAGCAGAACCAAAATTGCCTTGTATGTGGTAAAGATTATAAAAATATATTTCAAGTGATTTACCTCAAAGCAAGAATTCAGTAAACAGCAAGTCTTCTTAAGTGCTTTTTTTTTTTAATTTCATTAAATGTTAGAGCATTAAAATGTCTACTTACTAAAGAAACTGCTTTCTATAGATCTGAGAAAGGAAAACCTATCCAAAAACTTTCTTCAGGGAAATATAGCCTAAACTGGAAGTTTTCAAGGGGACATTTGAAACACTTGAGGGTACATAACATTCACTTTCTCCTTGGTGGGTTAACACTTTGTTGTTGTCCAAATCCAATAGAAAGTAGTCACAGTCTGTTCACAGAAAGCTGATAATCAACAGTTTTCCCCACTTTACCGATAATGAGCTCCTTCCTTAGTAATGGCATACCAATTCTGGTTGGCAGTAGACCAGCATCTGGACTGTCTGCTGTATTTAATCAAAACCAAGTGTTTAGAGCTGGGCAGAGGTCACTTCAGGTCATCTGAGAGAGGAGAGAATAAAGCCAAGCAACGGGTCACAGAGAGGTGGAAGCAAGGAGGGAATCACACCTCTGAGGCCCCAGGGTGAGGGTATCCAAAAGGGAGCAGTGAAGGAATGAGTTTTTATGAGGGGACAGTGGTACCTCTGAGTGAGTCTAAGAGGAAGGCACTATCAGGGAAGAGGAGATGGAGGATTGGGACTGGGCTTGCCAAGGGGAAGAAGGAGGTGGAGATGGACACAGCCTCACTCTTTGAGTCTGGCCAAGGATGGCTAAAGACATTCATTTCATAGGTAAAAAGGAAGAAACAGGTCATGCCCCATAACATGTCTTTTTGGGTGAAGTGTGTGAGGATGAGGAAGATCCTCCTAAGAAGTGGAAATGAGAACTGCCCACCACTGAGAGAGGCCTCAGTGATGCAATAGGACATTGTTCATATATATCATTAGCTGGGCGGGGCAAAGGGAAGGACCAAGGAGATGAGATGGAGTGGTAAGACTGAGGCCATAGGACTAGGGGGAAGGAGCTGCAGTAGATGGGTAGAGATCACATGGTGAACACCCACTGCATACACGAAGCAGACATGATGGGGAGACTGAACAGATACCTGCCTCGTTTTCAGGTTTGTTTATTATTTAAATGAAGAAACAAACCTGAACTGTATATGGGGAGCAGAAATTTGTTGTGGTAGGGCTGTGAGATCAGTGCATTGGATGTGTCACCTTTGTGGATAGTGATATTAAGATGGTAGGTAGGAGGGCTGGGGATGTGTGCATAAGGCCCTGGGTTTAATCCCCAGCACCAATTTGAAAAGATGGATAGCCAGGAGAAAGAGACCCTGTTCGATTTCAGTTGCGAGTCATTGAGTGGAAGAAACCATGGGTCTCGCCTCAGTTTACTAATATGCTTTCAGATCAATTCAGCGTACACTTACTGAGTTCCTGCCATAGACCTGCAGAGCCAATGGCTCGGCTGCATCAAGGATTTCCTCCATCTTCACAGAATCCCTGGAGTTGTAAGTTTGAGAAAGAGGGGAGAGCTTTTCATCTATATAAAGGGCAAAAAGACCTATGTCCAGTATCTTTGTGATATTTCTATGGTGATACATAGAGTGTGATTTTAAAAGCTTGATGATAACAGGAACGTGGAAAGTAATTTATCTAAAAACAACTTTCCCATTCTGAGAAGATCAGACACTCTGAGTGGCCATCAAGTTTCTCATGGGCTTTGAGAACCATTATAGTGGTGCAGACAAACATGGAAAATAGGCAAGATCTTTTTTGCTTGAAATGAAAAACATCTTTAATCCCTGATGCTTGGGGAAATTCTTCCTTCATTCTGTTTCTTAATTTCCTCTTCCGAAAGACAATAGTTTAAGGGAATTCTTTGTATAAGATATTCACCCTCAGGTGATGGGACACAGTTGGGAACTACAGCCTGTGATGTGCTGGTCTGGGTCCCGAGGATAGGAAGCCCAGCAGTTTCAGCTCAAGGATTTAGAACAAGAATGCTGTAAACACAAACTTGGGGAAAAAAGAGTCAAAATATTAGGTAAGGGCCAG